GTTTTCGGCGCCGACGTTGGGGTGTGTCAGCGAGAGGTGGACTGGGTTTGACGCGGCGCCCTTGTTTTCTACCAACTGTTGTTATTTTTCCGAATTGGCAATCAGTGGAAAGGGGCTAGCGCCGCGCCATCCCAGCCCCTTGACACGTCCCAGCGTCCGCAGCCGAAACGGCTGTGAAAGACCCCTTTCAAAGCCAATACTACCTCCCCCTTCCCTGAAGCCAAATACGCTTCCTTGATTGGAACGGTACCTCGCAGCTCAAAAAATACGGTACTTCGCGAATCGTGACATTCAAGGCTAGTTAATTGAGCGGCGCTGACATAGCTGGGTGCGGCAAGGGGGAGGGGCGGCGGGGAGGGTGGACAGTCACTCAACCCCTCTGTGTGGCCTTCCCCAAAAGTTACGCTTAAAGCGCAGAGGGTACGTAATCTCCATCAACAAGCCTTGAATAGGCGCGTAAAGTATGAACGTGGCCTGAGTAAATTTCCCGTTTGCATGAGAAATAACGGCTTCTGATGCGATTTGAAGTTGGAAAGCGGTCTCTCGCGCACATAATCCGTTCGCCATTGTCGAACAGTACTTTAGGAAATCTGTCATGTCAACAAACTCAAAAGGATAGCACTCCGCAAGATCGTTCACGAAGGCCGTTATCAGAACGTTCTGCTGATCCGTCTGAAGCAAGCACTCAATTTTCTCGCATCACACCACTTAACACAAGAAATCGCGTCAACTATCCAGGACGGACGCGTTCCAAACAACGTTCCTCCGACAGGGACGAGCCAACGGTGAAAAGGTCTCGCGATGGAAACGGCCGCCTGCTGTCACCACGGGTACTGTCGGATAGGACAAAATCATCTCCTACTACTGAACGAACTTCCTCGAAAATTGAATAGTCCATTTCATGCTGCTTTTTCTCGAATAAAAATATGCATATGTTCCAAGGTCTATGTATTTATCAGCGCTACGAAAACCAACAAGGAAGTGGCAGTTGCTGAATTGGGGAATCACTGCTACCGTATTCTGCGAGCTTGGTCACGTTTCCAGATCTGAGGTCCTCTTAATTGTCGCATTATACCGCCTCGCAGCCAAAGTAGCCTCTCCCACCCAGTTGCTGCGGACTTAGGATGGCATCACTGGTGGGAAAGCCGCCTTGGCTGCGCTTCAATCTACGCCCTATCGTTTGCAGGGACTATGAATGTAGGTGTCTGCATTACACCCAGTTCAGCTGCCTAGGTGGCGATCGAGGCTTTATTACCTTTATGGGAAAAAGAGCAACAACGTGTGAACGAGGGAGATGGGCGGAAGAGGAGGGAGGTGGTGTCAGTCCGCGGTCTAAAACAAGATGACATCGAGCACGTGCTTCATTATCGGTGCTGAATAAATCGAGTGACTGAAGTTGTGTATGGCGCCATGATAGTGGACATGCCAGTGAGCTGGACTAGACCAGTCTCCTACTTGTCCTCGGCCCCACCAGCATTAACCAAACTCGGTGAAAGTGGAGAGGGCGCGGTCAGGCATGAAATCGGTGCGTTTTATTTTTAGAGTGTGCTTCGAGAAAATCTCCGCATCGTTCACGACTTGTGGACATCAAAAACTGTTCGAGCCGCAGACGACGGCGGCAAATGCTCCGAGTATAAAGGCGTGGCACTAATTGACGCGAAGCAGTTCAGTTGGTCGTAGCACGTAAAAATATGTATTTATTCTTTTTTTCCATTTGCAAATGGAAAAACAGAGAAATAGAGGATTTTAGAAAACTAACAGTAAGCTCAATAGCAACATTGAAAACGGTTCACATACGCGATAACAGTTTCACCGGGATAAGAGTTTTACGAATAATTCCAAAGTTCTGGATGAAGATAAAGTTCAACTGAAAAATACGATCCCACCCTGGGAATCCCCACCAGGGAGTTAGCACTTGATGTTGAAGAGAGAGAGGGGGGGTGTACTTGACCTGAGAAATGACAGTTGATGTTTCTGATTCATGAGCCTATTCACATCATTAACAAGAGAGGGGAGAGGGGTCGTACCAAAGGGGATATTCTGGAGGGAGCGTACTTTGCAAAAATTTCTTCATCGAGAAGACGTGCCCTGGAAGGGATCGCGCAAAGTGACATGCAGTCCTTGTAGGCAATTGAATTAGCAGTTGCAGTGGTCCAACGATTAGCGCGGGAGCACTGTCAGTCACAGTGGAACGATTCCCAACCCGTGCGATCATGTCGCCAGATTTGCAAAGTATGAACGAGGGTTTGAACCTCCGAGAGGTAATTTGGAAGTCATTTTAGACAAATGCTTCTGCTTCTTAATAAAGTGCATATCTAAAACATGAAAGACTAGCAAAACCTATTCGCAAAGTTGTACTCTGTAAGATCTCTTGGTACTTCTCACATTAAATTCTGATGACAACGAAACAACAACAATTAAACAACCCTAATCGGAACAACGAAACTATGATGAATGACTAGATATTTGAATTCCTTACAAAACGCCTAACATTTTCATATGTAACAAACGTCACAACTGCTGCTGGTAACTGCCGTAAGTTGGCCATTAGGCAGCCTTTATACAGACCTCGTACACCCTCTCTAGACAGGGTGTCCGTAGTTGTTCGCCATACTCCTCTTGCTTCCACGTTGTGGTCCTGAACGTAACTGGATGAAGTTCAGGAAGATGCCGTTCATAATACTTCTGCTAAGCACGTCTGTTTGGGTGCGTGAGCGCCCATTTGTAGTTCACAAAAGTCATACAGTCCATATCTGAGAGCAACAAGCAACGGCTGCGAGGGTCCAGACGGAAGAGAAGCAGAGACGCTTGTATAAGAGACAAGGGTCAGCCCGGGACACGCCTCTTTCTTGCCTCCGAAATAAACTGTAACTTCTCTTGTTTGAGAGATAAAAGCGCTCAACTGGCAGGACGTAGAAGATAGAGGTGGCGAATGGGAAACAACTGCCAAGGTGTTTAGTAATATGTTATTATTTATTTACACCATGAAGGTGTGCCACAAATTGTTACCCCTAGAGAGAACGCGCCTGAACTTTACTATTATATTCAAGCTAAATCACTGAGACAGGAGAGAAGGATCAGCACGCTATCCATACTACTCCCTGAAAAGAGAAAGAAGAGAAAAAAGGATTATGTGAAGATTTTAATTGAAAACTTGTAATATTAATGTGTAATATTAATGTGTAATAATAATATGTAATGTTTTGATCGATATCGATCAAAATTATAGGTTTTCGCGCTGAGGGCTTCAAGAGGATAAAGCTCACCTGCATCCGGGTTCTAAGAACTTGATATGGAAATGTAGCTGTAGTTGCAATGACCTTTGAAATGGCGGAGAACATCAGATAGTCAGTCTGACCCTGAAAACTCGGTAATTACTCGGTAACTCAAATGAGACTTTTACAGTTACAACAGTTAGGAAAAATGGATCACTTCCGCTACGCGCTTCGCAGTTACCACAAAGCCAGACGCTACGTTCAGGCGCGGGCCGACCGATTAGGCGGATTTTTTTTGAAGAGGTGATAAAGCACATACCAATTGCGAATCCTTAACCAAGCCGTTTCTTTCACATCGCCATGCCTTCATCCGATTGTAAATCATGAACTTGAAGTGCACCGTGCACTGTGCCAAATAATCCTGGCACGAATCCCTGAAGTCAATATATTACAGCTCCTTTACTGGAGACGGCAGCGTTCGGCTTGGAAGGGGGGGGGGCATTTTGCACCTTAGCTTGTTTCTTAGTTCCTGCTAAACTACACGTCTCTGGCGAGACCTGTGAAACCTTGTTAAAGGTGAGCGAAAATCGTGCTACTACATATCTTTACAGGAATAAACATGCCTCCACAAGATATCGTCCGTGACCTATGGGAACCCACAAAATGCACCCACCAAGCTGAACTGTCCATTGAAAACTGTTCATCTAATTTGCTTTCTTCCGGATTATTTAAGAACAATATATCATTGTACGACGGTAACTCACCCTATAAAGGCCTCGAACTCCCTCCTCCAGGTAAATCTTCCTCAAGCAATCTACCATTCCTGAGTACTTTTTCGCCGCACCTGTCTCGTACTGCAAGCAGAGCCTGAAAACGAGGAGTACTTCCCCGCCAATGAGATGTGTATGACACCGGCAATTCAAACAGAACTTGTTACTAACCTGGTCTTCGTGACCCAAATTGGATTTGTGACGCACATCACAGCTGCCCCAGCGGCGAAGCCAATCAGAAAATTATCGAGATTTTCATTGGGAGAACGTATAGGCAACACAGCTTTGATCTTGTGATACCTGAAACGCTATTGTCCCCTGCTGGAAGCCATCTCCAAACTCAGAATAAATCGAACCATTCCATATAGAGGCCCCACGACAACGCGGCACCGACCATATTGGGAGTCAGGCCTTGATAGATTCCTCG